TGTAATATATTCGATCACAATAAATTTACATACACACTTTGCATACAAGTTATAAATATTAGAAGTCAGATTTCAGTCTCACCTTGCAGGTATCAAAGCTTAAGCGCAGGTCTATCTTTCTAGACGTTCGTATATGTTTTCTATTCCAACTTCCCTTGCTGTCTTCCGGACCACAATGTTGATTCAACAGTTCCGCTTGAAACTTAACGTCTTAGTGCCCAAAAATTTCACTAAGTTTCGTACTAGAAGGCATGCACGAACAATGCACAGTGAGAAGTTTCCGAACTGTTCCCGTCTTCCCGATTTAACCATTTCCATAATATTGCGCAACAAAAACATGGCCACCGTGTCGCACCGTGTCTCATGTGACAAAATCTCGGCCTGTGATTGCCTTGACACGCTCCACCGTGTCAAGAAGTTACTATATTTAGTAACAGCAGAACCGCGGACCGTGTCTCAAAATCGCAGTCGCATTTGACGAACATTTTCCGAACTTAAAATGATCAACTTCGAGTAGTTCTCGGTTATTGTCGTGGCAAACATTTAATATCCAGCAAGTGCGGGGTTTTCCCAGTGGGTTTTCCCAATGTTTTGAACCTTTTACACCACAGGAATTACATCTTTTGAGATATTTACGTTTTTATTTCGCGATTTTGTTGGAAAAAAACAGTAATACGTAACGCTGGACCAGGAGTATATATCTGTTTGAAGTTGTAATGTTTGGGACGTTTATACGTATAAAAAACGATCGCTTCCGTCCTTATAGACCAATTTAGAGAATATGACGATCTCAAAAATCTGACCGTGTCTCAAGCCACGCTTGCTACCCCCTGGATCCGCCCCTGATATTTACCGTTTAGGTGGATTTGTATTAAAAACTATTTTACCTCCGTCTCAGAAGCGTCCCTTGGCCTTGGCCCCGGACGCTTCTGATACCTCGGGAAAATATTTTTCAGTACGACCTCCCAGCCGGTATAAAGTAACATATAATTATGTATTGTGTGCTGTAGTAAGAGTTTTGCATTGAGAATTGTACTCGGTAGAAACCAATTGACGGACACAAAATTCCACTTGGATTTATTTTGTGGCCTATATACGTGATCAATTGTTTGTCCGAGTGCCAGTTATAATATCTATATTTATGTGTTTATGACTTCGATGTTTGAACTAGACCTTCCTGTTAGAGATTTTACACCTACGCGCGATTATTATCTTGGTATAATTAATTAACCGACTGCTGTGAGTCGGCCTATATATACACCAATCACAGATTATGCCGTTATAGTGAACTAACGTTTTTCATAACCGTACAGCTAATTTTTAATTAATCAACACAGGAAATGGACACTGTTTCGTTGCGATAATACAACTGAATTTGTTCCTGGGAATTTTTGTATTACCTTCGCTAACAACATTTCTTATGCAGTGTTTTGATTAATTATATTCGTTCAAATCCTCCCTTTTTAATGTGTTCAACACATGTCACTTATTGTATAATATAATTCAGGCTTCCACATGTATGATGCACCATTGATCATGTTTAGAACATGATTTCGATATACTGTATAGTCATGGGTATATATAGAGTGTGAAGACAATAACATTTATTAAAACAACAAAATTCTGACACTTTGAAATGAAATCATGCATGCATGCTCTTGCCCGAAATGTTATTCTTATCTTATATATAGCACCTGTCTGCAGTTGCGTATACTGCATGAGTGGTCAGCCAATCGCGAACGCCCACCGAGGCCAGGCGAACTTTGGGAGTTGCGATTCAGAGGTATCTTTTTCAGAAAATTCGACTCATATTCCTGAAACACGATTTTACATTGCACGTACATGTCTGTAATTGGCGGCCAACTTGCAATTGCTAGCGAAAAAAAATCGCCGTAAAAATAGCGGAGTGTTTTAGGGATAGTAAATTGAATGACATATACATGATCTTTCTCGAAACTAAAGTTAGTTATAAGGCCGTTTTCCACTAGGCGGAATTTTCCGCGCGGAGCGGAATTTCTCTTTGTCTTTTCTAATTAGTTCCACCCGAGAAATCACAAGACAAAGAAAATTCCGCTCCGCGCGCAAAATTCCGCCTAGTGGAAAACGGCCTATAAGCTCCTCGGCGACGTAGGAAAATCTTGAATCCTTAATTAAGATTATTTATATTATTGAAAAGTGCATCAAGCGCTGTAGCTAACGAACAATGAAGAATAGATTATTGACAAGTGTACCATTTATTTAGTTTTATAAAAGAACTGAGCTTTTTACCGTACTGCTCAAACGGACTTGAGTGATAATTGGCGGAAATTTCAGTTATAATTTAAACATCTATATACAATACTAAATTTACAACACCAGATGTTGTACTAAATTTAGATGAATTTGCAAGACCAGATGTTGCATGTACTATTAACTATTATTTTAAATTTACAACAGCAGATGTTGTATACTACAACACCAAATACTAAATTTACAACACCAATGACACCGCTCGCAACAGTAAATGGGCTCAATTTTATGCCGTCTAATGCTCAAAAAGCTATAAGTCCGGCCCCATGCTTGTCTTGAAATCGTATGGTTGCCAAGTTGCTGAAGTCTTCCAGCGGTCTAGCTACAGGTATAAAATAATCCAGATAAATCTATAATCGCCCATGCACTCGCATTAACTGAAAAATTTATGCATGGATCAACATCGGCCGAAATTAAATTTTTGCCTGATTCTCAGATAAATGCATTTCTAGTTGCATCCAAAGAATATTAGTAGAATTTTACATTACATGTTGTTTCACTGCAAAAAGAAACACGAATGAAAATACTTGGTTCTTTTAGAATTATTATTAAGAGGAGAATCTTTTGTATGCTAGCTGTATATATATGATGCCGTAATATATTGATCAGTCTTCTTACGAGTATGAGCCGGGCAAGCAGAAAATTATTTCTACTTGACCACGGGGTGGAATCAAACTCGCGACCTTCGCATTTCCAGAGCAACGCTCTACCCTCTGAGCTACCAAGTTGGGAACGCTGTTACTTATTTGTGAATTTAATGACATATCAGAATTTTGTCCTTCCATGCCTGGTGCCAGCCATTATTACAGCGAATGTTGTATGTGATTTTTTAAAATAACTTTTTCATTTAAGACGCACGCACATATGTCTATATGAGCGAATTTTCACTTGACGTGTCCAATCATTCAAAATTTCAAATATGCTTTTCTGCTTGCTTGCTTGCTTGACAGTAACAAATAATGCATTATGTTGGTGACAAAGAACATTTTGAATATGTTCAATATTGCGGGTATCACTTTATACTTGCAAACTTGACTTGTTATACTTGTTTTGTTGGGCTAATCGTTAATTGGATGTTTTTACATGCTGCGTGGTCACAAAAGCTTGAGTATAATTATAAATCCATTAACAAACGCGTACACTCACCTTATCGCAAACTGTTTTCCATTTTTATAATTACAGAAGCTGCTTATCGCCAAATGGACATTTTTACAATAATTAAAAATAAGACGCCATAAAGATAAGCCTCTAGTTAAAAAGTATTTAAGTTGAGCGGGTTTATTGAGAATTAAAAAAGAGTTGACTAAGGTATTAGGCAGCACGAATAATCCGCTTGCGCTATAATTCCTGTATTTGGACGACAAGACAAGCCAGCGACGATGGCTAAACTGTTACTGGTCCTCTTTCTTACAGCATTTATATGTGTGGCGACTCAAGCACTCTCGTTCAGACCAAGAAATATTGGCGAAACGGTATCGGAATACTACGAAGAAAATGAATCACCTCACCCATTAGTTAATGAAGTGCTAGGCGATTTAGATGATTCCACCGAAAAGTACAATCCCTTGATTCTGCGACATGTTGAAAATAATCTGCGAAGTATGGCTGACAGAGTGAGCGAGAAACGTATGTTAATTTGTTCAACAAAACCAAGCCCTTACTGCGACATATTAGGCTAGTACTTAAAGGCGAGGGGACATGCAGAAACGTAATGTCAAACTTTCAAACTATACGTCAATTCGTACTCAATAATTTGTAAATGCGAAGATAGAAATGTTTAAATATTTTATGCAATTATACAAGATATTATTTACTACAGTTATGAAAATACGCCTAAATTGACTGATAATAAATTAACAGCACTGTATTTCTTCCATGTTTGGTTTTTCTTATATTTATAATCTTCTCGAATACAAACTTGACGTATGTAAGAATACTCTAAGGAATGATTTAGGATTTTAGTCGTGAACTCGGACGGACACATAATTAATCAGCGCGTACAGCTAGCCCTAGCGACGGGGCTGCCAAATTCAGTATAGCACCAAGCTAAGGAGCGGACTATATATTTTATCTTACGCTGATGTAAAGATCTCTGATTTCTACAATTTACTAGAAAATGGAAGATCTCCGATTTTTATATTTAGACCCGATTTTTCAACAATTCCTATATGTTAACAGACAAAGAGAGTCGATTAGAAAAATAATAACACGGCTATAGAGTTGATTTTTTTCGAAAAAAAGGAATCGCAATTACCGTTGCTATGGCAACAGTGACGCTTCAATATGGCCAATATTTTGCGGTTGCGCCCATCTTGTATTTCATGGGAAGAATTTGTTTATTATTGTGAATCATTAATGTTAGTATAGGTAATAGCATGGTTTCGAGTGCAATTTGGATATAACATGCACGAGTGAGTTTTTCAAAGACTTGAGGTAGGTCTTTGAAAACTCAAGAGTGCATGCTTATCCAAATTTCACGAGAAACCATGCTATTACTTATTGATAATTTACATAAAAATATTCGAGACATGCAATTGTAGTTTTAACTTACGTTTATAGCGAACATTCCACTGGCCAAGTTTTCCTGGCTTTGTTATATCACATTATACAACGCTAACAGCTTGAAAATTCCACTCAACAGTGTAACTTTTCTTAGTCTTGTTTAAGGTAAAGGCTTTTCCATTTAAAAATAAAGATAAAAGCCATATTTTCCACGTGAAGTCAACTTTTACTTCATGTAGCGCGGCGCCATATTTATTTTGTTTTGAATCAATCTGTGACCGTTTACTTCTTTAAACTAACCTGCTTTATTAAACTCATTGGTTGATTTTATCATCACAATGTTTTTCTACCAATCAGATCAGTTTGTTACAGATTCTTGCACTGTTGCTACAGATTTTTGCACTGTTGTTATAGATTTTTGCACTGCTGTTTGGGATTAAATGCACTGAAACCAAGCAATCACAGTCGAGTACTATTTCTACGTATATTATTATATGATTTTTAAAAATTTCTGTGATGAAAAAAAATGGTTCAAAAACTGTTTTTCCGATCTTGAAAAATTTTGGTATGACAGAATTTCTAATTTAAACTCACGAAAATGATTCAACAAAGAAATAATGCATGTTGTAATAATGCTGTGCGCCGGAGTTGCCGGAGCCGGAGTTCTGCCGGAGCTCCGGCGGTTTTTCCGACGCCGGAGCAGAATTTTGTATGCCGGAGCCCGGAGCCGGAGTTACGTTTTCCCAGCTCCGGCAAAATGACAAGAAAACAATGAAATGAGACAAATGTCAAACGATTGTTAGTTACTGCAAACTGCCAATTGCTGTTAATGAATTCATCATATAGACTCAAACTGCCACAGCCCACAGGAACAGCGTCGAAAAGCTGTAATACGATTGCAACTTACAAGCGTCATGCTTTCATGAAGCCATCTGACTTAGCGCAACATAGTCTGTGTATTCATGCCTTGTAGATAACGAAAAAGTACAAAACAAATAAATATCAACCTTTTGAAAATGACAGAGTACTTTGTTTGCGTGCGAACAATTGCGCTGTGGAGTCTGAGGCCCGTTTCAGACGGCGTACTTCTCATGTGCCGAACTTAATTGATGAATTAGGTACGGCAGAAGAGCGACGTATGAATCAATTAAGTACGGCAGAATTTGGAGCGGCAAAAGTTCGACACAAGTTCGGCAGAGCTTGTCGCATTATGCGACGTTGGAGCGACGTTGATTCATACGCCGCTCCACTCATGTGCCAAACTTTAGTCTAAAAAATTTTGGGTCACCGACCTTATTTTCGAGTTAAATGAAGAAATCAATACGGTGTGTAATTCCTTCCCCAAGGAATCGGGATTGGTCGTTTTTATGCTAGAGACGCATTATGCGTCTGGACGCATAATCCGTCTTCTACATTATTCGTCTAGTATAAAGACGGGACGAATAATCAGACGAATTATCAGCATGTATTGTTCGTCTGGTTATGTGTCCTCAGTATAAAGACGGGCACAAGACGCATAACTATCATCGGTTGTGCGTCTCTTAAGACGAAGAATCGAACATAGTTCGTCTAGACGCATAATGCGTCTTGTGCCCGTCTTTATACTGAGGACGCATAACCAGACGAACAACAAATGCTTGCCCAAGTTCGTCCAGACGCAAAATGCGTCTCTAGTATAAAAACGGCCATTGTCTAAAATTTAATCAGATTATGCCATATTGTGTCAAGTCAAGGACATACCATAAATTATTGTACCAGAAATTTCGGACAAAATGGCTCTCAGTTTTTGAATAAATTGTATAATTGCCTATTCACCACGATGCGGTAGTATTTATCATTTATAGACCCGGAGCGAGGGGGATTCGGCGTAATATTTCCCGAAGTGATGATATTTTCCGAGGGGCTTTGCACCGAGGAAAATATCATCATTGAGGGAAATATCGCTGAATCTCCCGAGCGGAGGGTCAGTAAATGATATATCATACCGAAAGTTAAATAACTCACTAAGTTCAGAATAAACTTTAAAACTTGCTGAATTATTAACTACGCGAATACAATTTTTAATTTCTTATGTGTACCTGAGTTTTTGACGTTTCCTCTTTAAAATATTTGAGCATGTATCCTTTGGATCATTAAAGGTAACATACGTCTTGAAAATCTTTGGTTAAATCAAATCTTCTGTACGAAATTACAAACAACAGCTCGCGAACGCCATATTGTTTCAGAGCGTGGTGCCCACGCGTCACGCATGAGCATGGGATACTATAATATCCCACGGGGGATCTGCCGTGGGATATTATAGTACCTCACGCTGCATTGCGAAATCATGAATTTGAGTGAAATACTGTAAAAAATCACATTATCACGTGGTACAAATGCTGTTTTTCATTGGACAATTTGAATTTGAGGTATTATATTTTCAATAATTTACATATAGGAGAAACTAAATAGTTAAATTCTATTCCAAAACCATCGCGAGAAATATGAAAAAGTAGTTTCATATATTATTCCGACTCTGCAGAGGGTAACGTGAAAGTCGTTGTCTCGAGCGGGATTTGAACTCACATCCTCGCGTTTCTAGACTTGTGCTCCACCTATGCATTGATATATCGAGTCAATGGGGATGAGTAGCCAGTCTTATCGAATTTAGGTGCACGAAATATTGTGGCTTGTCCTATTTCAGAACCACCTCAGAGATGTGAAAAATAGTTTCCCACCATTATAGATTTTAACTGTTTATGAGTTATTTGATATATAGGCTATATCTTCATTAATAGAAACATACATAGGCCTATAGAAACAATATTTGCCGTATCTTTGACGCCAAGAGAAATGATTATTGGATTTATCGAAGTTTTGTTTATCGCAATCGGTAGAGTATCGTTTCAGTTACTACTTCGTGTAAGGATCACATAATAGTTTAAGGTAATTAAAAGTATGTTAATTAAGACTAGGGTTAGGTTAGGTTATAGGTTAGGTTAGGTTAGGTTAGGGATATGGTTAGAATTAGGGTTATGGTTATGAGTAACTTTATGATCACACATACCTTATAATTTGCTAAAAGTGTTTTTTAGGTCTTAGAATTAATTAAAAATCTATATGGGGCTTCGGTAGCGCAATCGTCAGAGCAAATGCCTTTCACCTCTGAGATCGTGGGTTAGTTTCTCGCTTTGGACTCATGTGAAGAGAGTGAGTCAAAGTGAGTCTATGCACTCAGTGAGTAATTAGGTAAGCGCAATACTTGATGTAAAGCGCATTTGATCGTATCCACATGTAAATTTGCGCTATAGAAATGTTAATCGTAATCATAATCATGCATGGAGTAATGGACCAATTGCATTATAGACTAAATTTTGATCTAGACAAAAATTTCATCCCAGCTTGAAAGAGCATCACAAAATTAGTAATATTCCGAAGTTTCGTTGCGAAATGTTGTAAAATGCGGATAATATAGCCTTGCGAAGTTTGCCGTTTTTCAGTCATTTTGTATACGCACGGGAAATTGACAGCCAAATCGGGTGTTGGGGCATCAATTTCCCATTTGTAATACAAAATGACTGAGAATTGCAAATTTCGCAAGGCTATATTATCCGCATTTTACAACATTTCGCAACGAAACTTTGGAATATTACTAATTTTGTGATGCTCTTTCAAGCTGTGATGAAATTGTTGTCTAGATTTAAATTTGTTTAGATCAAAATTTAGTCTATAATGCAAATGGTCCATTTCCATATATTCGGCTAACACCAATTTTACAAAATAAACAATACTGCCTAGAAGCAACTTAACAAACAAGAACGACGGCATCGTACAACTGTCCTATGCCGAGTAGGCCCCGGGCTTCAAGAGGCCCGTGATTTTCAGATAATGCACATTGTATTGAAATTATTATTATTTTTTTAACCATATAGTTAGGCAATGAGATATTGTCATACTTAGTAGCTTCTCCAAAAACTATGAGTTCCTTGGTTTTCATGAGTATTGGCATTCACCGTAACGCAATGGCGGCGGAAGGAGGGGGAGGGCTAGGGGCTATACGTAAACAAGAGGCTGAACTTAGGTGCATCTCAAAGATCTAGAAATTTATGTCTCACAAGCTCGTTATCGTTATTGTCAGCGGAACCTGCGTAGGAATATCATCCTCCAACCCCGCAAATTTTACCTAGCATGCATACAGACCCGTACTTGCCATCCCGCCACTGAGGAGCTTATTAAATCAGGCCACGGTAATATATGCAATGAATATTTTTTCGCTGCATGAATTTCCGGTCGAACATCATAATACATATAGATTTTTATTATACTTATATAAATTCTTTTATTATACTTATATTTAATGCCGGTGATCGTCTTCTTAATCTTTCCCAATGTTTAGTTTGTTATTTGCTAGAACAACCGGTTGATATATGCCCCATCATTGGGTTATCAGACTAGCTAGATATTGTATATAAATATAAGTTTCAATGGTATGCGTAAATACGTGTAGGGATCGAGTTCGTTCATAAGCAAGAATTTAGAAACATATTTAACAACGCATTACAGTTTTTTTTGTTCAAAACTTTCCTAGTGTTTCGCTTATACATTTGGAGCCATTCTTTTATATAGCACAACATACCATATAGCACCAGCCAACCAGAGCATAACCATGCCAAAACAGTAACATATCAAACTCGTTTTCGTAAACGCAAAACTGACGACTACTCGACATATTGCAATGGCTGAATGTACAGTTGCTAGAGATAAGCCTTGAACAAATGTTGCATTCTTAGGGCCAGCAATCTTTGAAAGGATGGAATTTCCAAAGGGATTTGCAAAATATGGCATACCCAGACAAACGTATATAAGCAGAATATAGTATTGAACGTTACTAGTTAGGCCTACTTGATTCCACGAGATAGCCAAAGATGTGAGAAACGAGATGGCAATTATTTCCAACAATAATGCAAGTGCAAAAAGTTTTCGTTCGTCAATATATTTTGAAGCGATATGAAGGCAAATAAAGAGTAGCAGTGTAAATAAGGTACAATTCAAAAACAGCAACTTAACGTGAATTACTTGCAGATGAAAATGATCCAACGCCAGAATAGGAGCATAGAAAGTAGCCGTGCTTGAAAATATCTCGCTCGTAAATATTAGAAAGAATAAGCAAAAAATTCTAGATTCCAACAAAACACTCGGTTTGTTGTCGGAACTATAGTCGATAACATTTCGATCACGGTCTTGATGATTAATCAGTTCTTTCTCATCTTCGCGATCACTCATTGTTGAGGTCGATTCCTTACTTCGATTTCCGTTCTCCACCCATGTCTCTTTGGGTAAAAACAACGATGCAATAAGAAAAACAAGATATATTATGGCCAGAACAATTCCAGGTGAATTTCCATCATCTATTTCCCAACCAAATATATTCACACTAAATGAAATAAAACTTCCAATTCCTGGACCAAAAACTGAGCCAAGACAATATACACCTTCTAAGAATACAAAGTTTGCCCCTCGACTTTCTTCGTCTGTCTGTAAGGCAACTTGTCCTAGAAGAATTGCTATATCCCCACTTAACCCAGTCATAAGCCTTCCAAACAGAGGGAAATATGCACTAATGTTAACACTGTACATCATACTAGCGAGGACTTTCATTGCACAACAGCAAATAAACATAAATCTGGGATTTCCAAATCGGTCTGTTATGAATCCAAACAAAGGTCCAGCAATGATGGCGCCCACGTTGTACGCGGTGAAGACTAAAGCCAAAAAAAACTTGGTTTGACCCATTGATCTGATGTAGTACCATGCTGTCGGCGCAATAATATAAATTTCAATCCCTCCCAAGAAAAAGCGAAGAGCAGTGAAGTTTGTTATCCACCTGTGTTTTCCCATTGTTATAGAAGTTCCAAGATCTGTGATCTACATTGGAAAAAAGGTTTGAGTAATAAGAACCACATGCCTGCAGTAGCAAAGGGTGTCATACCTAGCGTACACGTTCGTGCCAAGTGGTTTTTGGTGGGGGGGGGGGAATAAAAAATTTGGGCCCCATGCACCCCAAGAAAAATTTTCCAGAAATCAAAAAAAAATTTCCGCAAAATACTGGCGACGGGGGAAGGGGCAGGTCCCAAAATTTGTTTCAAACACTAAGTTTACATAATGGGGGCTTTTAAATTTCGTTTTGAAGACCAGTTTAGACCAATTATCCAGAAAATTCCTTAATTTAATATTTAACACGTTCCGCAATTCCAGCTTTCCAAGGCCCCCTCTCCGCAAGTTGTGCCCCCTTTTTTACTTTTCTTTGGGGATGGGGGGTGGGGGTGATACCCCCAGGTGGCACGGCCCTGCAGTAGCGTATATGTCATACATACAGTACCTGTCTCATACGAGAAGGTGCGTTCAATCTCGAACTCACCTGCTGACGTATGTTTAGGATGGTGGTTCGAGATCGATGTTTTTAGCGGGGGGCCACGCTTGGCATAAAATGTTTCAAATTCGGCCACAAGAAATGTTCGAATTTTTGCGGATGGCGCGCGTATTTTTTTGGAGTCTGGAGACGAAATTAATTTTGGAAATGTGCGCTATTTTTAGACAGCTGCGGTGACATGAAGGGTATTCCTTAGAGAAATATGTACTTGGGGGATGAATAGCGTGATATTAGGGGATCAGAATGGTACCAAAGTTGCCATGACTACCTTTATTGTTTTGCCGCTTGCGAGCTAGTCTCCTACGCATACCTACTTAGCGGGCTGAGCCCTCACGTAAGGTATGCTTACTTTGGCCAAGAATTCCTTTCCTCAAAATTAGCCAATCACAGCTTTACCCACGAAAATTGTGGGGCTTGACCTTTGGCTTTGACCTTGAGGCTTGGGTCGTTAAACGTTTCAAAACATTTACCAGTATTAAATCTTGAACATTTTATATATTCATTTGTACGAATTCATATCTTAAACCGATTATATAGCCTATATATGCGAGAGCTGAGAGATATATTTGTTATACCGATATACCAGTCTACAAATTTACAATATGGAACAGTTGTAAAACTGTTAGAATTTGTCGAGCTATATTGTTTTGAACAGACAGTGTAGCCGAAAAATCGAACAATATCACCTAAAATATTTCGCAATGTTTTGATTACTTTACAAGCGTTTACAGGTGTTACTGTAACACGGGTAATATACTGGACAAAGACGTCAAGACAAAGTTTTAAAGTTACAGTGTACATTACTGCGGGTGTAGATAATAGATTTATAAATACTAATTGAAGACTACAGAATTCAGCCTATATAAAATACTGAATTTATTCATTGCATATTTCGGTTTCTAATTTTGTATATGACTAGCCAGTTTATAAAGTTTAATAAAATCGTAATTACAAAAGTCGCTCTGATATTGAACGTTCGGAAACTTAGTACTATTTACAACATGAGCGGCCGTGTTGTATCGGATATACAAACTCGAGCCGAAAACGACTCATCTTTAAATTTAAAAATTAACGTTGTCTAAGCCGAGAAAATCAAAGATAAAGTTTATGTAAATCAACATGAATCCGTATCACATATACAGACTCCTTCAGCCCATGATTTCTTTTGTGTTTTCTTCATGAATTATTAATGATATATATATTGTTAATAGTATATATTGAATATAATACATGCCGTCACGCAGTCGCGTCAAGTTCAAAACAAGTGTTACCATTGAATAGCTTTATATACATTTAAGCCTTCGACCTATCGCGTACATTCGTTGGAAAAATATTCAATATTTTCTACTTCGACTGCTATTGATCAGAAAACTCGATCTGTTCACATTTAAGGCCATTTAAATATGTATATACCGTATTATTATTCGATTATCGCACGCTCCTTGTTTACACTTTACAGTTGACATTCAAAGTGGGCGTGTCTTGTGTATTTGAATGCTATTGGCTAATGGAATACAATGGGAAGGCGAATTGCTAGCGAAAGTAAGCAGACCGTACGTGGCGGGCCTAAACCCGCTAAAGTAGGTCTGCATAGGAGACTACTTGCGAGCATTCTTGAGAGCAATTTCGCAAACAATGGCGCATCGAAGCCAAAATGTTAAAATTGATGAATTTCGGCTTCAAATAACTTTTGTTTTTAAGGCCATCCTTTTATAATATTTGGTAGGACTAAATTTATAGCCTTTATCTAAATTCCTACCGAAGCACTTTATTCGATTTCGTCTTTGATCGCAGTAAAAATGCATTTGAATAAGGCCACCAAATACAGCGTTTCGATGTCAACGCTAATAATATAACGTTTAGCGTCTGAGGTTGCGGTCAAAAGAAAGATGGAATTATCGACCAAGACACAGAAATTGAGGAGATTAGACGAAAAGGTATGTTTGGCATTTGTTTATTGTATTATTTGTACGAAACAAGGGATAATATATTGATATGTTTTGAAAAGCAAGCGTGTGTACTTGTTGACTTGTATATTGTATACATTCTTGAGCGCTCAAGAACTATAATACCTATAGCGGCCTATGGCTACAAACCCTTTAATTAACCCTATATTTTCGAATTTGGAGGGTTTAAAACAAGCGAAATATGTTTAAAATTACGAACAATAATGTGTTGTATATTATATTTTCACATTGACAGTTGTCACACAGATTTATTATAAGTAGATTGCAATGACTAGACAATATGCGATGTTCCATAGGTAAATTCTACGTTTTGAGGGATTTGTAAGTAATCTTTGAGGGAACTGGCTCAGTGTTACATTTCAGCACATAACATGCAATTCTGACATTGTAAACTCTGTTACTATATAAATGTGAAGTTTTTTTAACTTTGAAGTTAGAAAAATCTTTTGAATATTGAAACAAACCTATAATTGCTTGCAAATTCAGGTAAACCACAGGCACAGCTGGCAGCATGGCCTAGGTGTTGTATTTGTACACAGACTTGATTTATAGTTTCAGCAATCTATGAACTCATTGAGTCGCATTGAGCCCTCGCCGTCCTGATGGGCCCTACTTTATTTAATATTTTACTTTGTCTAACGCCAGACGATTTTACTTGTCAAGGGGAGAGTGCTGGCGCAGCTTAATTGGTTAACTAGCCTATACGTCTATGTGTCTAGTTAGTGCATTGAGTTACATTGCACCCTATGTTATTATTTTACTCTGTCAGTCTCTATCTACCAGCAGACAAGTTAACTTGTCAACAGAGAGCGCTGGCGCTTAATAGTTAACTAGCTTATATGTCTATGTGTCTAGTTAATCTATTGAGTCGCACTGCGCCCCGATGCGCCCTACTTTATTATTTTACTCTGTCTAACGGCGGACGATTTTACTTGTCAAGGAGAGAGCACTGGTGCTTAAACGGCTTAATGATTAACTACCCTATATGTCTTTATGTCTAGTTAGTGCATTGACTCACATTGCACCCTGATGCACCCTATTTTATTATTTTACTCTGTCAGTCTCTATCTAACGGCAGACAAGTTAACTTGTCAACAGAGAGGGCTGGCGCTTAATGGTTGACAAGCTTATATGTCTGTGTGTCTAGTTAACCCATTGAGTCGCACTGCGCCCTGATGCGCCCTACTTTATTATTTTACTCTGTCTAACGGCAGACCATTTTACTTGTCAAGGGGAGAGCACTGGTGCTTAAACGACTTAATGATTAACTACCCTATATGTCTTTGTGTCTACTGTAGTTATAGTGCAATGAGTCACATTGCACCCTGATGCACCCTATGTTATTATTTTACTCTGTCAGTCTCTATCTAACGGCAGACAAGTTAACTTAACAGACGATTTTACTTGTCAAGGGGAGAGGGCTGGCGCTTAATGATTTAAGTTCTGAAAGTAGCAAGGAGAACCACCCATGTGAGGCTTATGTTTTTATATACCAAGGATACAGCCACAATACATCCATGGATTGTCGTTCCACCTTTTGTGTTAACTCAGTAAGCCGCAGTGTTTCCCAGTGTCACCATCAGTCATTTGCTTGTTTTGTATATGCGATACTGAGTAGATATGTGATGTGCCCCAAAGACAGTCGTGTTTACAGGCTATACCCGTAGTAATCGGGCTACTTTGTTATTTCGGTCTTATATCAGTCAGATATTTAAATTTACCCTTAAAGACAGTTACCGTACTGTAACAATATTGGGTTTATCAGCTATAGTGATGCAAGATTTTTAATCTCTAAACCTTTACCATTTTCTTCTAGGTCTTGCAAGGCAAAGTGTATTTACTAATGGCAGAATATTGTGAAATAATGTGTGACTGACTTTGGCTTATTCCTGCCTACTATACTGAACTAAATGTGTATTAAGATTGACTATGACTGTGATATTAACCCTGTTAGTAATTGCCAAGTGCAAGTGAGGGTTGATCTAATTAAAAATGTATTATTATTTGATTGCAAATAGTGTTCTCAATTAAATTGTCAGGTCTAATAAAT